CAAGCAAACCTGATGCTTTGAACACTTGGAAACTCTGATTTTACTGCGTTGATTGAACCTTTTTCAAAATCAGTTAACACGAAGTCTGGTTTTAATTCCAATTCATTTTCGTCTGCCAATTCATTGACTTCCTGAAATAATCTCTGGTATAATTCTTCACTTTTCTTACTCATCAGTGCGTAAACCAAGGAAATTATTCGGAAATTAACATTTCCACCAGCAGGAGCGTGGATGCTGTATAATTGCCGGAACACAGTTGGCACAGTTTTAAATGTTCCATCCATAATCCAAAATTTCGCTTCTTAGAGCCATTTAAGATTTTCACTTGTTGTGAAAAGCAAAATTCTTTCAGTTCCATCGCTGATGTCTTTTGCAAAACACATTCCACTGAGTGTAATACAGTATGCATCTGGTAATGTAAAATCGTCCAAAGTTGTTGGTTCAACTTCTTCGCCGAAAACACGTTTTGCTCTTTTGATTTGTTGTCTTAAAAAATCTTTTCGTGGTAAACACGGGTGTATTTCACGCGATGTTGTAGCGATAACATTACTAATGATTTGTGCAGGTTGATCGTTGCTAATTTGAACCAGCTCCTTCATTTGGATGCAAGCTTTCAAAGCTTCAGGTTTGCTTGCTTCTGGGGCATGATTGTGATGCTTAGCATCAAATGTGTGAATCTTATGCTGGCCCCAATACAAACTGTAGTGGCCTTTGCAGTACATTTCGTTTCCTTTTGTGTTTTGCAAATGCAATAATATATATCATCGCAATTTTTGTCTTTGTTATACAAAAATCCTTCAATGTTTTTTTTTTGGACTTGCCTTTTGTAGATTTAATCACTTCAGCATGATTACTCGAAGCGCTGTCACTGTTTTGTCTTGAAGGCATGATTGAATTGTAACTTATCTCACGGGAAATAGTTTGTTAATGGAAGATTTGTNCGCTCGTATGCACAGAATGTAAAAAAAATGATTCTTTTTTTCTGATGAAAAAGGAGAAATAGTTTGTTAATGGAAAATTTGTTTTAATTGATAAAAAATCGTCGTCTGATTTTATTTTGAAAAATGTTCACTATTTATAGGCGGATGAGTGGAAAAAATCCCATTCTAGATGACACGTACGATAACACAACTCCGCTAACAAACAGTGAATCACAGTATTGCGTAGCTGAATTTAAAAAAAATTTTGACGAAATATTTTCAAGTAATTTCAATTTTTTTGACTTCAAATATGTGCCGGCCAAATGAGTTGTCGGCGAAGTGTACAGGTCGGTCAAACAATTTGTCGGCGAAATGGTGTCGGCCAAGTGCCCCGGATCCATGAAATCCTCATCTAGTTCAATCAATGCAAGAGATGACTATAGTCACTCGTTTTCGAAAATCCTTTTTAGATTTACCAGAATACTCTTTTTTCATAGTGGAGAGCAAGATTTACACTGGCCTCATGAATTTCAGGTTATGGGATGTGAAACTTCGAGAAGTGGAAACAATATTCAACTCACAGATTACCAGCGAGGCCTACTTAGTAGAGTTGATCAGCAAACGATGATAGAATAACTGCTGTATTGTATAGTTCAACTGCAATATATACTTTAGTACAAATTGAAAGAGAAGTACAAGTGTATTATCAGAAAATCGTGAGCAGTGGTCTTCTATTATGAGAGATTACTAGTTAAATACATACTGTCGCTTTTCTTCTTGCTTTCTTTTATTTTCTAGAATAGGTAAAGTAAAGATATTTTGAAAGACATAGTTCATCTCCGTTGCTTTGTAGAGAAAAGTACCCGGCCAAGTTGTTTAGTCCCTGATAATGCACAGGCTGTTACTACCGTTTTTTGTGATAGAGTTGGACTCAAACAGATGTGAGGGCACATATATCAGTTGCTGGGTTCCAGGAAATTGCATTATATTGTCGAAGGGGAAGTCGAGCAAAATAAAGCGCAATATAATGAGGGATTACAATTAGTTTGTTAGATCAGTTATACAGAAGAGAGTGTGAGACGTACTGCAAAAGGGGAACCTGATTTTTAAATAATTCTCTTACTATCATTCTGCGTTCGAATTAAAAACCGGAAAAGGGTTTTCCGAAAAAGGTTTAATGCAATCCAAAACCCAAGGGTTTATAGAAATTATTCATATAACCGAGAAGATATTTTCTATAATTTTCCGACACCCTTCAGGTTTTAGAAAACATTTATGCAAAACCTTTTCGATAATACCCTATTCGATATTCGCGGATACTGTTTTGGGTATGCGAACGTCTTTTTTATACCAAGGGTTTTCGAAAGTTCGCATACCCTATGGGTGTTCTCGAAGCATTTAAGGTTTTCCAGCACACCTTCTTCTTAGTGAATAACCGGATGATGAAAAGCAAAAGTCGCTCCACAACTGCGTACTGACGAAAACTGAACGAGTTCAGTACGTTCCAATAAAAACCCAATTCTGGTCTTTCGCAGCTGAAGAGCATCTTGAGCATAGAGCTGAATATCCATTAGCCCCAAACTGATCTGATCGTGTTGGTTGGTTATTTTTGTAATAGTTCATCGTTGTTGGTTTCATACCGCACCAATAGCATGTTACTAGACCTTTTGGAACATTATCTTCTAGAAACGATACACTTTTGTTTTCGTTAACCAAATTTTCAAATTGTCCATTGATATCATTTAACTTTTTCTTTAAATCTTCTAATTTACTTTTCTCACCCAGAAGACTCTCATTAATCTGTTTTAAATTTGCTTCGATCATCTTAAAGTTATCAAGAAATTTCCATGTCTCTTTTCGAGCTTTATCACTGTCGCCGAACAATTCGTATTTTTGAACGACAGCATGCATTTCCTCATTCAATCGAACCATGTCAGCGAACGTTTTACACGAATAGTTTAATTTATCATTGAAGACGTCCGGAATAACTGTCATTTGAAGCGACAAAGGCCAGGAGTTCACCAATGTGATCGCGTTCTGCTCCACTTTGTGCTCGGTGACATCGAACTTAATGCAGTTATTTATCGTTGCGTGAGTGACATTGTATTTGAATGTGCTGACAATATTTGTGCTGTTAACGCGCTGGATTATTTCATCGTTTGCTTTTGATACGATTTCAATTTCTCGTAGAATTTCATCTAGTGTTCGTATGCGTACCTGGTGAGTCATCGCTTAATGATATAACTACTTGGATGACACGAAAAATACTAAACTGTAGAATTTTTGATAGAAATACTGCTGTTATACGTCCTACAACCGCCAGTCAGAGATTAAAATATTGAAAAAAAACTCTCTTAAGACCTGTTCTGATACCTTTTCGCGAGTAATGCAAAATATTTTACCAGCATCGCAAAAAAACGTGTCGTACTGATGGAGAACATGTAATCTCATCGAAATAATTGAAATGAAAGAAAAAGAAAGAGAACATAGAAAAGTAACGGAATAAAACGAAAGAAAATTAATAAAATATTTGTCACAACCTTGCTACTGCCTTCAATCCCTCTATGAAGAGAAACAGACTTGTTATGCACCAGTGATGGACCAGTTATTTCTGACGTTTCCTTTTTGGGGTGAGCATTTATGAAAATTATTATGACAGAGTTGTAAAAAATCGCCCTTAATTGTGAAATGTCTTATTTTGTAGAGAAATGTTTGCTCTGTCTATCTGCACAACACAAAAAACTAAAGCATAAAAAAGAGAAATTTTCTAAACGCATTAGTGATTAGTCACGACCAGTTATCATCTACAGTTATGGTACTCTTGATTACCCATATTTATGTCATAATTAAGTGCCAAACGGCATATTTTCGTTTTTACTGACTGTTTTGTATAGAGAAACACACTATCAGTATTCTATTCCAGACGAAATCGAGTACATTTGGTCACTAAAATCTCGTCAATTTTACTCCAATACCACCGCAGTCGAGGCCCTCAAAACAAGACCCACACGATGAGTAAACGCTACTTTTCTCAGCTTTTTCAGACTCAAAACGGACTATTTAATGGTATTCTTTTGAAAACGATGTAAGCTTTCATTAAGACAGGAAAAATGACTAAAGGAGTGTTCTGCAGGCAGGTATTAGATAATCCGTCAAATATTCTACAAAATGAGCTGGTCACAATATATAGACAGGCGGGACCAGTCATTAAAGATATGTAAAAAAAAGCTTGATAACAGAGTTTCTGAAAAACCTGAAGGCTAGAAAACCAAGTCTTTGGCTTTTCGTCAGGAAGTTTTGAAAACCATATAGTCTTATAGAGAAAAGAATTTTGAGAAAAGTAAGATATCTCGCGACGGTCTATAATGCTTTTTCACCAATTGCAGTTGATTTACGAATGGGTACAAAACGAAGAAGTTTCTTATGATTATGAAACATTGCAGTAGAAATATAAGACCCGAACGCTTCTTTTGGACATTTCTAATGACCGGTTCCGCCTGTCTAGGTATTGTGACCAGGTTATTTGCAGAAAATTTCACGGGCTATCTAATGGTATCTTTTTGAAGAAGATGTAAACTTTTATTACGACAGAAAAAATGACTGTAGGAGTGTTCTACAAACATTTTTGGCACTCCAACGCTTCTTTTGCATGTCGTTAATGGCTGTATCAACCAGTCAAGATATTCTAACTAGCGCAGATTGTAGAGAATCTCAAGGGCTATCTATTCGTGAATTTAGTTAATCGTTTTGAGTCTGAAAAAGCTGAGAAAAGTAGCGTTTACTCATCATGTTGGTCTCGTTTTAAGGACGTCGACTACGTTGGTATTGGAGTAAAATTGACGGTATTTTAGTGACCAAATGTACTCGATCTTGTCTGGAATCAAATACTGATAGTGTGTGACTTTCAACTACAAAATCCTCTCTCGCACAATTCATTAACATGGAGTAGTTCGTACGATTTATGATTTCTTTCGTATGTGCGTAGAAAAGAGGGCGTTTTCTGTCTGTGCGTTTCCGACCAATATTTTACTATGAACTGTGCCTTTCAAAATATCTTTACTTTACCTATTCTAGAAAATAAAAGGAAGCAAGAAGAAAAGCGACAGTATATATTTAACTAATAATCTCTCATAATAGAAGACCACTGCTCACGATTTTCTGATAATACACTTGTATTTCTCTTTCGTTTGTACTAAAGCATATATTGCAGTTGAACTATACAATACAGCAGTTATTCTATCATCGTTTGTTGATCAACTCATTAAGCACCATCCTATTAAAGCCAATTCTAATACCGATACTCTTTCTAGATACCCTTTAGAATCTGAGGTCGTAGCGGTGCCACAAACAAATGGCATTTTTATCGGTTCTCTAGAAAAATCAAGAAGTTGTCATTAATCTTTGGGATTATTGTAATATTTTAGATAATATAAAGTTGGTTCAACGGCAGGATAAAAATTACGGTGCTCTTATTCCATTTATTCTGGATGATATTCATCCTGATGATGAAGTTTTACATTGAAAACTCGAAATTTTTGCCCAAACCCATAGAGTTATTGATGGGAAATTATACAGGGGCTGAAAATTTGAAGCAGATTCTCCTCGTAAGAACAATCTTAGCCCGCATCTTCTGGTTGTTCCTAAGCCAAAACGTCCTGAGATTCTTAAATTAGCCCATGATCAACCGGTTTCAGGTCATCTCGGACGCCCAAAAGCCCTCCATCAAATATCGATGCGCTTCTTTTGGGTAGGTATGAGGCGCGACGCAACGCCGTATGTAAGATCTTGCGATCTGTGTCAACGTTTTAAGGTTGCAAATGAAAAGAAGGCTGGCTTAATGCAACCTCACGTAGACCAGCCTCCGTGGAATACTACTGAAGTCGATTTGACCGATCCTCTCCCAAAAACTCCCCGAGAAGGTGTCTATATTTTAGTTCTTATCGACTATCTCACAAAATGGGTATAGCTTTTTCCTTTAGGGGGTATAAAATCGAAACAAATCGCACAAGTTTTGCATGATGAAGTCATATGCCTGGTGTCCCCGTAAAAATAGTTTCTGATAACGGAGCGCAATTTGTTGCACAGATTTTTCGAGAAACTTTAAAAATCATGTGCATTCGACATCGAACCACCGTTCTTTATCACCCTCAATCCAACCTATCTGAGCATGTTAATAGAACACTAAAGGCGATGTTGGCTATTTTTGCTCAAAATGATAAGGAATCTTGGACTATTCGATTGCTAAGAAACAAAAATGTCCCCGCGGGCTTCATCGCCCCGTCATCTCCCCCCGTCTTCTTGCCCCGTCATCTCCCTGTGTCTAATGGGCATGATCTGTTCGGTTATCATTCATGTTCATTCGAAGAAGAAAATTTTACGCAGAAAATTCGAATTTTAACTTATGGTCTATGCGTACTGAAATGACAGAATTTAGTCCTTTTTAAAGTTACGTTATTTTAAGGCAACTATTTTCTAATAATATTATAAGGACGCACAGGAGAGTCAGAGAGCAAGAAATGACGATAAAGTTATTTACAAAGAAAAAAAGGAGTGTATTGGAAGTATTGATTGACATATTTGTTCGAATTTGTGAGCTTCAGAAATTCCTTCTTGTTTTCGTCTCGATCCTCACTCGCAGAGTGACGAATATTCGGATGGAGAGAGAGAAGACACCAACTTTTTCCAAGTTTTTTCCAAGTATCTTATCGAAACTCTTTTCATTTTCTTCTCCTTCTTCGACACGTTATGTCGAGGTTGGAAGTTTTGATGTTTACAATTATGTGTGCAAAATCATCATATCATCCTGAATAAATGAAATAAGAGGACCGTAATTTTTATCCTGCCGCTGAGCTAACTTTATATTATCTAGAATATTACAATGATCCCAAAGATTAATGACAACTTCTGAAAGAGTATCGGTATTAGAATTGGCTTTAATAGGATGGTGCTTAATAACCATGTCGTAGGCATCGAGCTTCATAGTCAATCGTGCTTGACAGCTTGTAGGATCTCTTGTGCTTCTCAGCCATTGTAAAGATCGATGATCTGTCCAAACTTCGAACGGTCGTCCTTCAAGATAGGACCTGAAATGCTGCGTACCTCAAACAGTGGCTAAACGATCACGTTCAGGTACTGGATGCTTCTTAACAAAGTTTCTCAGTTAAAACCATTAATTAAAAAATTAATTTCATCTAAGAAAATTGAAAAACCAGCTGAGAACTAATTAAGAATTCAAATAATGTGGCGAAAATATTGTCTGAAATTGTGAATGAGTAAGATTAATAGAGCCTAAAATTCTGTACCTTTTGACCTAGAAAAATTAACTATTGAACCCCAGACAATAGGCTAAAAATCTCAAAAAAGGAGACGAGAAACATACATTGCAGTGAGTCAACTCAGCACTATTCAATATTTGCAGTGGAGAACTCAGTTTCTCCACTGTGGGTTTTCACGATATATTAAAGGAAAAGAAAATGAAAATCGGAAAAGAGAAAACGTTGTATGTAGAATCCGGTGTATTTGAGGAAATTCAACTTTTGCCTTTATTTATCATTATTTGTCAATCAGCCTCACTCTCAGTCTCGGATAGCATTTTCTAGTTTGAGTATCATTCAAAATGTTGAACAGTGTTTAGTTGACGCACAGCGATGTATGTTTCTCGTCTCCTGTGTATCTGTCCGATCTTTGGAGCACACCTTTTCGCACACTGAATTTAGCTGTATGTGTCAAAGGCTGGGTTTTGAGGGCATTCTCCACTATAAGTGATGAATAACTCGTCGAATCCAAGTAAGCTGAGTCTTCTATGAGTGAAGAAGAGCACCACAGAAAGCTTTGTTGCTGAGATATTGACGGTATGATTTGGGCTACAATATGTGATAAGTTTCAACATGAAATTGAAAACTCCGACTTTGCTTGAATGCTAGGTCCCATGGGAAGAATTCGAATAAAAATTCAATATCTCAGCAACAAAGCTGATTGCGCTCGAACCAGGTTGG